TCCTCCTCCTCTGCTGTGTTCTCTGGCCTCACGTGTGACAACACTTGCCCGAGCTCACCACGAAGCGCTGCTCCGCCCAACGCACTGGACGCGTGGGCCTTGGCATGCACGACTTTATTATTTAGTGTCTCGAGGTTGGCGTCTTGCTGCTGCAAGGCGCTCATGTCAAGCTGGTCAGCATCGGGAGGAACAGGGGGAACTGCTTTGACAGGTCGAAGAACCGGAATCTGCTCGGGATTGCTGCGTGTCCACTTTGGGATCATTGGCTTAAGTGGGCCACGGTAGCTATATTCATTAGGACCCGGAGCATCAAGCGGTTCTGTGTCACCATATGGGATGGACGGAGGTGGCTCGAGTGGGACGACAGACTGATGCCCCCCCTGATGGTCAGCTGTTGTCGGAAGACTTGGTGCAGGACCCTTCGGCGGAGGTGGAAGTCGAATAGGCAATGATGGCTTGGGAACCTCAACAAACGTAGCCCCAGCTTTGACTTGAGTCGACCCTTTGGCCTGCGGTGACGGGACCGGCGGGACCTTTGGGGGTGGACTAGGTGGGACAGGTAGGCTACTGGACGAATGCGAGGCGCCCGCGCCAGAGGCTGCGGCTGGCTTAGACTTCGGCCCTGCGGCTACAGACTTTGGCTTTGTCTCAATCCCTTTTGACACTGACTTTCCGGCACTGGTCTTGGTGGCCTTTGCTTCTACCTGCGAACGAGGTGTCAAGACGATCGGGACATGCCCACGGTCAAGCGTGGGACGCCAAGGAGCCGTGGCTATCGCTGCACTGACCGCGGAGGATGATCCCGAAGTGGCCTTAGGGGCAGCAGAGCGGGATCGATCGGTGCGGGGCGGTGTGGCCGAAGAGGAAGCAGTCGAACCAGAATTAAAGACTGTTCTTGGAGGGGCGACTTTAGTGTCAGTCGAGCGCACATGGCGGAGCGGCACAAACGGGTGGTCTGAGCTCCAATAACCCCTAGGCAGTCTGTATTTCGGCTGTGGGATACCTTGCAGCAAAGTGGAGTCGATCGAATAGAGGAACTGCCACAGCTCAGGCAGGATGGTCGCCCATCGAGTGATGGTGTCCACTGGCAAAAGCTCTCCCTCTGCATCAGACGCCCACCTCTCAGAATGTCGAAGAACATATCCGAACCACTCCGGGTACTGCTTGCGGGCCACTTGTGGGGGAATGTGAGGGAGATTGAAGCGGCGGCCGAACCGCGCATAAGTGGAATCACCGAGCTGTGCACGGATGTATTCACACGTCTGCCCATAGGAGAGGTTTTCACGGCCCGCGACGTGTTTGGCGCCGGCACGGCACCCCCTCCTACGGGTGCGGTCTCTCTCCCCCTTTCCCGCGCCAATGGCAGCGGCTTCACCGACACCCAAGTCAGCCGGTTCCGGCTCGACGCCTGCGATCCGGGCTGACTCCTCCAGCGCTGCCTCCAAGTCGTACTGCTCTTGGATGCGTTGCGCAATCCCTTCTTCCACAGCGTCCTCAGCGGAGGACTCCTCGTCTTCACCAAGTGGATCAAACAGGTTATTAGTGGATAGGGGAGGACTATTAGGTGTAGATGATGCCTGGGCAATTAGGGTTTCGGGTGGCACGAACTCTTCAGGCTCCTCCTCCGCAGGGGCGAGATCGCCTTGGTCTGTCGGATTAGGGGCGTCCGCACTGGCCGAAGTTGCCTCCTCTGGGACCGGATGGTCTTGATCAGGGGAGGGTTGCATATCTTGGGTATTACCTAACGAATGCTCGTCCACGGGGGCCGGATGGTCTTCGGCCGTGGGGCTATCGAGAGGATGGATCTCTGTGTCGCCGGGATAGTCTAGACCCTTTGGGCCGGCGAAGGGTTCTTCAAGCTCGAGATCCCTATCTTCGTGCTCAATCACGGAAGGCGGAAAGAGAGTAGGGCCTGAATCAGCCTCGGAGGCTGCACCTGCCCACTTCGAGCTTTCTGAACCCGCGCCTGCGGCAGCGGCTGGTGGGTCTTGGTTGTCGATGAACAGGTTCAACGCATCAATGGCCAATGAACCGAGTTCCGACAAGGACGTCACCTCAGCCTCTGCCTGGTTGGCACCCTCCCCTGGCGAATCCGCGCTTAGAGCAGCGGCTTGCGCGTCGGCTGCTGTCACGGATCTTGGACCAGGATCGGGGTTGACACTTGGACCTAACGAAGATTCCGCGCCAGAGGCTGCGGCTTGCGCAGGCTCAGAGCGTGGGGATCGAGGTGGTGTCACTCTCGGCATTGGGCCTAGAAGGGGCGGACTATTAGAGCTCGTAGGTTGGTTAGACCTACGGCTGATAACCAATGAAAGTGACAAGGGTTCCGGGATATCAGCCCCAAACAACCACCACAACCTACGGAGTGGGAGGTGTTGGGAAAGGTATCCTATTGTGTGGAGGACCCTGGTCCTAGTTGGCACACGGCGGGGAACACCGGAAGGGTTGGTACCCGTGGTGTGCAGGAGTGTGCGGGTTTGGGGAAGGGGCACCTACGGCCACCTACAACACAAACCCGAAAGCAACGAAAGCGAAAGTGGCACGGCGCGACCGAACGAAGCGACGTGCGCGAGCGCTGAAACGACCGCGGGCGCAATCGTTTCTTGAGCCATGATGGGCGTCGGTGTGAAACAATGACTTGTCGACCGACGACCGAAAACACTGTACATGAACCCTTTATGACATGGCAAGTTAGGGGTTACCACAGTGCGTGATATTTTGACTCCCCCCTCGCCGCTTTGCGTGTCATGGGTTCACTGTATGTACAGGTATTAATTACCGCGCATTAAGCAGCGGCTTTTGCACCTACATCGGCACCTAACGAAAGGCTTCGGTCCCTTAGGGAGGGTTTCGGCTCGCGAATATCCGTACGTATGCCAAGAAGGCATAAAGCTTTGTACCACTTCTGTGGTGGCAGTGCTTTTGTAAAGATGTCGGCGGC